GGATAATATATTTTAACATCTCATTATATTTTAAGATTTAGTTTTATAGCAGTGAAGAGCGCTTAGAGTAAACAAAGTTAAACAAAGCAATACGACCAAATGTCTCATTTCACAGAGTAAATGTGGGGATATATTGTTCTTCGAGAATCAGTTGCAAGAAATGCTGGGAAAGAAAAGCAATTCAGGTGGATTATGGGTCAAACACCCAGAAGCAGAAGAAGTGCTTTTTGCCTTTTAATAAAATCGATTTTTAAATAAGTTTGACTCCTACAGGACCCCATGTTTCCCCGTTTCTCAAACACTCATTTCTTGTAGCATCCTCTGTCACTTCTTCTGCCTGCTCCTGGAATTCCATGAACGAATGCTGCCCTCCTCTTTTTCTCCCATGTCCTTGCTTGCTCTCTATCTCTCTGCAGCCTTGTTCAGGTCGTGGGTGGTCAAAGCATCAAACGCTCCCTGGAGACAGACCCAGCAGCCTCCCCAGAGGGAAGGCAGAGGAATGCTGTGGCTGGGAGAGAAGGGATGGAAAATAGTTCTCTCAGCCATTGTTTGGGGTTTCCTGCTGGATTGTTTTTGGTACATATTGGCCCACGATACAAAGGCTTGGAAGCAGAGGCACACGCTGACAAATGATAACAACTGAGACAATGGCCAGACAAGGAGCCAGGACTAGGCACTAATCGCACCCCTGCCTGTAGTTAATGTCAAAGTTGAACTTTATGTTCACCAATATGGAAAATTTAGACCACCGCACGGCACTCGTCTGTCACAAACACCCACAAGGAGAGAGTCTGAGTGAAACCTCCAAATCCTGCAGCTGTGTTTCTGCGAGCCGTGCTCTTGAAGTGGCTTTGTAGCAGCACAAAAGTGAAATTGTGATCAAAGATATTGACTGGGTCTTGATCGCTCGCAAGATTCACAGTGTCATTGGGGAGTGAGCCAGGATTGCTTCTTGGCAGGGAGGAAAAAACTGGAGGTGAAGAATGGAATGAGTATCAATACCTGCCACACACACACACGCACACACACACACACACACAATGAAAACGCGCTATTACTCTAATCACGATCCCAAGCCCTTTAACAAATATGGCAGCTGAGGCAAAGAAGAGATATTAAAACTTAATTCACCTGCTATTTGCTCTGAATGGTAAATTCCCACATCTGATTTGAAAGCATGGGCTGAATATATTAGCAGGGACAGCAGTCTAAAATGGGCTGCATTTAAAATGGCTGCATTTTGCTGACACCCAGACCGGCCCACAATGAATGCAACAGCGGGCTAAATTTAAATATGTTCAGATATTACTGTCTGCTGATTTACATTCAGTCGCTGACCACGGAGTTGGAAGTGTGCGGCGCGGAAAGGCAATCTGTTTTAGTCTACAGCTAAATTCAACCTGGATTACATGCAGCATATAATCCTACATATTTTGCTATTTTTACTTTTGCTGCACGACGAAAATGGCACAAAAATGCCATCAATTATCCAACAATTGCTCATTGAGGGGTTTCATATTGTCCATGTCCAACCCTTTCCTTTACTCCTTCCTCTTTTGAATACCTGCTCCTTTCATTCTCGTCTTCCTTCCTTTCGTCTGTATTGTTCTTTCCCCTCACATGCCAAATATATTGTGTTGATGTAATGTTTTTTTAAACACCATGACGCAATAAGCACTACCAATATATACCTGTAATAATCACTGGATTAACAGCAACACTGTCACCGAATCCCAGACAAATCAAATAATTTTAGCCTGAGCAGTTGCTTAGAGACCTGTGAAAATAACATTTCAGGGAGGAGCCTCGATCTTATCACGAGTGTGAGACGCTGACACGTCAGTATCTAATATGTAAAGTGACACACGTCAGCTCTCTCATGCTTACATCCATCAGAAGTTTATCAAAAATTCCGCGGCAGGCCTTAAAATTAGATTCCGTGACATACAGCAATTTCTATTTGCATCAAAAGTCTCACACATCCGTCACCACAAGTCCTGTCAGAAGGAGCTGTCTGAGGTCTGCACGCAGATTCCATTCAGCCTAAATCATCTTTACTATGAGGGTGTTCACCAGACGCCGTACAGGACCGCCTTTAGTGTGCCAAGCCGAGCTGCAGCCGGTCAGCGGTGTTGATCTGAAAGGGAATGTACAGTCTATTGACCCCAATTCTGTGGGTCTGTGGTTTCTAATTTTACGGCCAGATTTCTCTCAGCTCTGACTATAATGGATGAGACGGCCATGAGGGAGCAGGGACACCTGGCCGCCGAGCCTCAGTCAGCACCACTGTCCTGACAGGCCTGATGAATGCAGGCTGATGAGTACACACTCTCTGCCACAAGCCCGAAGCCTCGCTCTGTGCAGCTAAAACAGAAACCTACTGTAATCTGCTCTACGTGTGTTTGTAATACAGACTTTCAATTACCGCACACACTACTTAGTTAGTGTCTAAATTTAATAACCACTGAACAGCACCGTATTGCCAATAAAACACTGTCTTTTAAACGCCCGTTGCACTTGAATTACTATCACTTGAATGCTTTGTATGGCTCTGTGTTTGTAATTTGTAAAACAAGATTACCATGTTGCACCACACACACATTTCATACCCACAGCTTTACTCATCTGCCTGCTGCGTGAAGATATATAATTTAAGATCAGGTCTTAATAATGCATCTGAAAAAACAAAAAAGATGCTGTTCATTAAATTAATATCACCACTTTGTAACGGATTAGCGATAATAAAATGATGAACACACCAACATAAAGCCATATTAACAACAATAACTTGACTAGAATTAGATTTTCCATTATGTGCCACCACACAAACAAACACAGTGATTGTGAGTTTGTTGTTAGTCAAAGCAGAAATGAGGAATTAGCATCGCGCTGCAATCACTGTTAAGTCCCTCTAGGTGAGACATCAACATCAAAACGGTTTAATGTGACAGTGACAACTCAGAGATAAATCAGCCTACAGTTCGGGAATACCTCTCAACCGCCTCCCGCTGCTCTGCAGTGACCTACTTAGCATGATTTATCAAAATGTTGCAGGAATTTCCATAGCTTCAGCATTCCTTCAGGAAGGAGTTGCCTAATGATGTGATGTCTCTCTTAAGTGTGAGGTCTTGGTTTATGTAAGTGTCTTATTATTAAAGGTGTCAGTTTGTCTCCGTTGCCCCTATACCACCAACATAACATCTAATTTTGGAGCGCTGATTCTCTGCACCTAAAATACAGTGTTAGAAGCAGCTGCTGTTTGGGTGTCAGTGCGTTTAGAGGCTTCTATCACGGGCCCAAAACACAATGATCTCACAGCCGTAGCTTCCTCTTTTCGGAGGAAGTTTAGATTAAGGCAACAAACAACGAACCAGCGAGCGGAAGCATTACATAACGTCGACACAAGTGATCTCAGCTCAACGAGGAAGCAATGCTTCCCCAAATTAACGGAAATTAAGAGGAATGTGACGCAGGGTGTGTCAGCTTTTTGGGTGTGTTTGACTGTTGTGTGTGTGTTTGTGTACGAGAGATTACAGGGTGGTGTTTTCTTCATGCAAGAGCACACAATGTGTATATAATGTGTAAAATGTGAACACGAGCTTAATCAGCCGCGACTTCATGTCTCACAGCTACCACCCGGCAGTTAGAGAGATCAGGGATGCTCGGTTACGCAAAGATGTCTGTCAGAATGGAAACAAGTGGCTTTTTTTTTTTTTTTTTTAAGGATTTTGGGAAATTTGCTCATTTGCTTTTTTTTGTGTGCAAGAAATTGAACAGATTGATGTCTGCACAGCAAAACTGAACTGTTGTGTTATTGTTTCGCAACCTCTCAGCTGCACACGTCACATGTCAGATATTGATCAGATAGCATGAAAAGTACAGACACTCCTTTCGTCCAGTGGTTATAAAAGGCCACATGAAAATGCAGCTTTATTCAAATGACACGAAGCCACAGACGACAACAGAAAGATGAGAGCCGAAAAACAAACACTTATGCCCCTATTTTTTGTTCAGTGACATGTCAAAAACTACGCTTAACTCCTTCTTCTATAAGCAAAATAAAACAGAATAGGAGCAAGTGTACCATTTGTCAGACTTGTCCAGTGCTCATAGGTTTTATGGTTATGGTATCTCACAACAAACAGCAATATGCCCGGACTGCTGTTTTCATAAAATATGCATTCTGCGCAACAACACTATAGAGAGCACCAAAGGGCACGGCTAAATCTGAATTTCAAAGTATACTTTCATGTAAAAAATGTATTGTGTTCTATCAGTTTTGTATTAAAGAGGATGAATTATTAACAGGCTGGGAACTAGAGGATCAGTATAAACTACAATAGTGTATTTGAAGGACAAAGCATCGTCTGCTTCTGTCTGGTAATAAATTAATGCAACTACAAAGAATGAATCTACAAATCTCTGCTCTCCCTTTCAAACGCCCCGCTGTCGCATATAAACCGAGACATTCTGCTGACATGGGTCTTGATCAGAATTCATCACAATTAATAGGAAAGTTCTCCGGAACACAGCAGGGTTACTCGACTTTTAATTTAAGATGATTGTCTTTGAATGTTTGAATGCAAATCTGTGGAGGGACTGTGTTATTCCTGCAGCTTCCAACCATGTTTTTATAATAATGTTAATTTATTTGATTATTCATTTGCTTCCATCCTTGTCCCCCATCCTGCCTGCAGCCCGTACCGAGCTAATTAATTTCTCTGTACTCCACAGCTATTTCAATCATTCACGCCTTGTGTTCAATATGTACTTCCTCAGTCGTCCACATGCCGTTTGCATCCCATATGATTCAGTCGCCCTCCCACTCCCCCCACTGCGGACCATAATGCCGATATGGACATGAATAAAAGATCCAAATGTGTATGTTTGTATTTATGAGCATGTGGGCGAGACAGAGTTGAGTAATAATATCACTTATTGATGTTTCCTGCGCCGACTGCCCTGCAGCGCTTTTGTTCGTGTGAATGTGCGTCTCCTACCTCGTTGCCGTACATCATGAGGTGGTGGGTGGTGATAAGGGCTTTGAAGACCACCACCCAGCTGGAGTTGGCTGTGCGCTCAAACAGCGTGTCCGCCAGCTGGGGAATGTTCACGTTCATCTCATTGGTGCAGTGGATCAAATCTGGTCCAGGGTGGAGAAAAAAAAAAAAAAAGCAACACAGTGAGTTAGACACCAGCAGAAACCAGAGCGATGATGAGAAAAGCTTTTAACCCTGATCGAAATCAACAGCAAATTACTTTTCACACGCAGCAAAACGCGGACACGGCAAGGACAGACGGCGCACGGATTTCGGCTGAATTCTTAAGCGAACTAAGTGTGAAGGACATCTGCAGAACTTTCTCTAACCTCACTCAGCCGCACCATTTCCCACTCCTCCGTTCTCTCGAGATGTGCCAGCAGAAGTTCAGGTGTCATTCACTCACCGAACCTGGAGGAAAATTGAACCTTCGGGCGCAAGAATGTCAAGTTGCAAAACTGGCAGCCTCCGAGACCAGAAATAGGGAGTGCTCACTAATATCCTATCATGTTGTGACACTGACAAGTACACAGGTGTGCGTGTTCGACAGCATATAGTCTAACAGGAGGCGCTGCATGTTCTCAAGTGGCACTTTCCAGTCACGCTGATTTATTGATCGTAATTAAAAAACTGCTTAGTTTCACTATGAACTATTTACAAAGCCTGCCATCGGATTCACGGAAGGAGACGATATCTCATTTGTAGTGCTTCTCAGCATCTATCTAATTTTCTTTTAAACATTTTGCCCTGTTTGATTGATGCCGAGAAACTTAGCATTGAACATTTAACAACAGAGAGCTCATTTGAAGCAATTTTGATAATCAATTAAGTCATTTTTCAAAATGGCTAAAATTCACAGCTTCTCAAATG